TATATATATATATATATATATATATATATATATATATATATATATATATTTCGGCCAGCCTGTACATACAATTTTCACATTTTCCTTTGTAACCAAAGGGATATCTGTTTCTTATCTCTGAGTGGAATCTAAAGAATATTTTAGTGCTTATGATAAAGGACTATAGAAATTCATTCGACAAAATATTAAGCCTCCATCGCCAAACTTGCTTCGATAGAATTTTCCATTTAGGGGATCTCTCAAAAACTTAGAAATGGTTACTGCTTTGGGTATATCTTGCCCAACCTGTTCAACAACGGTTAAGTGCCAATTTCAGTAAATTATTTCGTACGACGTAAGTGGTCTTAATGAAGAAAGTTCGACATAAAAAAGAGAGAGTTGAATTCCCAATTTAACACTGATTACTGAAGTTCTAACGTTTTTTTCATTTCATTTGAGGGTGTATCAGCCTAAAATAAAACTAATTAATCCCAGGAGGCGTATCATAATAGAAACAAAATAAACAAAGCTTTTTGAGATAAACAATTGTATTTGAGATAACTTTGATTGTCAAACCACATGATAAATGCACAGATCTAGGTCATGGCAGTAGAATCTAGCAAGCGAGAAGGAAAGAACGAAAGAAAATAAAATGTTCCGAAAGATGACATCAAATGCGTTTATAGAGACCTAACTCATATCCACAATTTGGACATTGGTGCTCAATATTCTTACACTTTCTACAGCAGAATGGAATCAGGCAACACAGAAGTGGACCACTAAAAAGATCAAAATTGTTTCAATTTATAAGCAAGGAGATTAAAATAACCTATTAAGAAATGAAGCCTCACCCAAGAAAGAAAATAATGCATGAGGCAAGCCATGTTGCATTACCAACTTTACTCTCGGTTTTAGACATCACGAGTCGATTGCATCTTGGACAAAATATTTGCTCACTGTTGTCGGACAACCGCGTTGGTTGCTGAATAACAACAGTTGTTTGGCCTACGATCAGATATGCGATTAAAGTTATTCAATAATTGCACCCACCAGGAGCATAGGGAATTTGTGCCATAGAAATACTAGAAATTTTAAAAGAGATTATTTTATTCAAAGGTTAAAAATGTCGATAAAGAGAGTTAATTGTTGATAGAAGAAAAGAGGGCCTTAGCTGTTACTAACTAATAATGATCTTGCAGTTAAAGATTACAATAATGAATTTAGCAATCAAAAACGTACATGCGCGAACAGTAAAACTACTTCAACCCGTCCAAAAGACCAGATGAATCAAGACAATTTGGAAGCCAATATTTGGCCATGAGATTCTAAGTGAATTTTTGTTTCATTAAAACGAAAAGCGATTGGTTGATTTCAAAGCACTGTTAAAATATTTGCTTAATTTAATTTATTTACATAAAATTTTATTTTTATTGAAGTTAAATACTACACTCTCAAAATTTATTAAAATATTTTTTGTTCAATTTGTTCTGAAATATTTAATATATAGCAAAATTTTTTGGCCGAATCAATAAAGTGTGGTCATAATTCATTTTCATTAAATAAATTTTCAAAAAAAATGATCTTTTATATTTTTTCAACAGATTAGTGTATTTTTATAGTAAGAAAATATTTTCTAGTGCGAAACTTCGAATACAACTGTTGCGGTATACAGTTTGAAACGAATCTAAAGTGCTCTTTTAAATTTCCGAAATTTTGAATATTCAAGATAGATGCGGAAATCATTCGGAATTCACATAATAATAATTCGAATTTCATAGATAGAGCTTTCGTGGTGCACAAATCTTTGGAAATTAATCTGTTAAACCCATAAATTTTCCTGAGCAACTTGCGCTTAGGGCTAATAATCCGAAAAAATGTGTCTGCTGAAATATTTTTGACTTCTGGAATGTTTTAAATCAAACCCCCCACAATAACAGTCAATATATTATTTACCATTCGTGTTCAGCGTCATACCTATAGTAAAAGATTTATCATTTTGGATCCATTTTTAGGTATTTTCCCCAAAAATCGTTACATTTGCAAACTCAATTATCTCAAACTAATATTTTGGCTAAAATCATTAGGCTTGTGCGATGCAACACATTTCACTTACAGTAAAACATCGATGGCTCATCTGAGGCGTACTGCATTGAATTAGCATCCATCGGCAAATACCCCTTATTTATTTGCAATAGTAAATGAATGACTAACTTGGTTTTGACCTCAGTGGAGTTCACAATCCTAAAACGAGTAAAGTGAGCAAACTCATTTGTGCTGAAACTTGCTGTAACGTGCAGCCGTGATGCCGATCTCGTTGGGAAGGAAAAGTGATCAAGAGAGCAGTGGCCTTCCAGCCAATAATCAATCAATACTCAAGTCATAGTCGAAATAGCCAAAATTGTATTCAATTCACAATCCGAATTGACGCATTCTGCCAAATACGTTGCTTCCTCTATAAACTTAAATAATTTCGGGAACCATGCAAAAGAGATTACTAAGAATATGTCGAGGCTTATTCGTGTAGTAAACCGTTACACCTCGGAGTTCAAGAAACTCCGACAACTTACCATAGGAAGATTTCAGTCGTCTCTCGTTACCGGTGTCTCCGGGTAATAATTGACATCTATGAATTTATCTACGTTTGAACATAAACACTAACATCTCTATCACTGACCGCCTATGAAAATGGTAGTAGAGATCTAATCATTTCTCAGAATGCTAGTTATTGATTGACGGAAGCCATTCTGATTGACAAAGCAATCATGCAGCGAATAGGCTGACTGACAGTAGAATATCGAAGGCAGTATCTCTTCAGAATGAGAGTATGTTTGTAGTAACAGTAGATGACTAACTATAATTGTCACGTCTGAGAAACATTTTGCTACTCTTTGCTCTGCTCTAATAAGTGAATATGTTTTTTTTGTAAAAATTTAACAAAATTCGGTGAGAAACATTCTCTCTTCTTGCACTGAATTGCAGATTACCGAATTTAGATCCTGGTAACTGGAAATGATATCCTGTCGCTCAACTCACTTGGCAGCTACCTACCTCCCACGTACTCAAATCTATGGGAGCAGTGAATTGAAAATTGTATTAATAGTCAGTTTTCTAGGATACAGTTTACCTCTACTTACTCAATCCAAATAATTATAGCTGTCGTTGGCACCAAGCAATATCCGAGTATCTGCCGAGTATCTACTTCAAATTGCAATAACTCTGGAACTCCATCTTAGATGACCGATCTGACAATAAGCATCAGATCATTTGATTATGGGATACCAGTAGTTGGGTAATTATTCATTTGGCATTTCTCCTACAGGCGAAATAAACTATTAGCAAGACACCGATGTGATTTGATAGGTCCTATGTTTTAGCATGATTTACAGCCATATCTCTCTACTTGGAAGTCAGTAAAGTAAATGCGATGTATTTACGTGTCATTCACGGCAAGGTGTATGCATTTTGCAGCCTTTGAACAATGATATGTCTTTTGTCTAATTCTCTCCTGGACTCCAGCCATTGCTCTGTAACTCGGCTTACTAGTCATTTTATATTACTTAATTCGAGGTGTGCGACAGACTTACTTCCACGTGGTGCACTCTGGCCAATGTATATTCCTTCAAACTACGATGACCCCACTGTGTGTTATATATTCCACCACTTTCACAGTACCCACCTCACCTTACCTTTTTCTCTACATTTGCGTCTGCCTGTCTCTCTTACATCCGTGAATCATTCTTCTGTTCCCCCCCCCCTCTCGAATTTTTCTCACTTTGATGTTTCTCCTCTCTGTGAAGCCCTAAGTCAGCATAAGGCCTAATGACAGCTGTCAAAATGCCTGTCATTTGAAATAAATAAATATTAATTAATTCCGATTGCTTTAGTAATAAGCTATTATAATGCAGTTACCTTTTTAGGAATCAACATTAGTCGAAAACGTAAGACACGATTGCCCGTAACTTATTTTCAATTTTATTACCAACAATTACCGATTTTTCTTACATTTTCCCCAAAAAACCCCAATAAACAAAGCCGACGTCACTCACTTAATTAAATCGCGGATGGAGTTTTGAAGTGGCCAAACTTACAATCATTGCTTTAGTTGATTGTCATCGACTGCAAGTGTCGAATCGCATTGGCGAAAAGGCGGTCTAACTAGCTCGCTATTAAGGCAATTACACGAGAAAGGGAGCGTATATAAATAGGCAATGAGGACGGAAGATATATCAGAAAGAAGAATGGCAAAGATAATAGATTATGAGTGGTAGCGCCCATCTTGTCTTTGTTAAAATGTCTTCCAATTGCGCATAACAGTGACCAATGACTATAAGGCCTGATCTAGTCAATGGCCTGTTCAGTTCTCTCATTGGTCCACTCTGCATGCAACCTTGAGGTGTTTCACTTCGATCCAGCAAGATTGACATATTTGGAACTCACAATACTTTTACGATCAATTAGCCGACCTCTTAAACATGGTGAGAATTTATGGCAGTTCTACTATTCCTATTCAATAGTCTATTCAGACGAGTGGTACAGTTTCAGTCTGCTTCTTTTTCCATTAGTATTTCCAGAGGCGCATTTCCATCAGGTTTCGGATGAACAGACATCCAGAAGTCCTCATATTGAGCTTTAAAATTTCCCCCTTTTCTTTAAAAAAAGTATTTACCACTTCTTCTAGCTTGAGCGTTAGTTTCGGATACCTGGAACATTTGACTGTATTGTCTATCGATTTCAATGGAGACCTCCATTCTCTGTCTTCCGAGCATCCTTCGCTTTTGACTTGATGGCCAATTCGGGACCTAGATAAGGTTGTTGCTTCCTGCTCTTCAATTTCTTTCTCCTCGTTTTTTGAATTCCATTTGCCATGATTGTTTGGGGGGAGGGGGGGGGGGGGGGGGGATTTTATCCTACTTCATATTTTTCGTCCTGGTGGCTATTGATTCTGTCATTTAACTAGCACTTGGCTTAACTTCCTGGTTAGCACTCTTCATTCTGAAATCTGGTTCAGTTCAGCACATTCGTTCTCATAGCCTCGTTCAGCAAACAGGTCGTGACTATGAGATATGTGCGTCAAAATTGAGCAAAGTGCAACTCCTTATAATAGTCATTCAATTAATTACAGTCCATGTAATATTTTTTTAAATGGCAGGCGTTTTAATAGTTATCATTAGCCCTTTAGTTGACTTCGGGCTGCACAGAGGGGAAGGAACAACAAAGTGAAAAAAACGAGATTGGGGGGGGACAGAAGAGTGTTTCACAGATGTAAAAGAGACAGGCAGACACAGAGGCAGAGAAAAGGTAAGATGATTACTGTGG